AGACTCTTGATTGCTGCTTCAATTTCATTTTGTGTTATAGGTCTATTCAGGTGATTAATTTCCTCTTGGTTCAGTTTTGGATGATCATATGTATCTAGAAATCTGTCCATTTCTTTAACATTTTCAAATTTATTTGAATATAGGTTCTCGAAGTAGTCTCTGATGATTTCCTGGACTACCATGGTGTTTGTTGTTATCTCCCCTTTTGCATTCCTGATTCTACTAATTTGGGTTTTTTCTCTTCTCATTTTAATCAGGTTTGCCAGGGGTCTACGATCTTGTTTATCTTTTCAAAGAACCAACTTTTTGTTTCATTAATTCTTTGTATGGTTTTTTTGGTTTCTATTTCATTGATTTCAGCTCTTACTTTTATTATTTCTCTCCTTCCATTTGTTTTGGGATTTGCTTGTTCTTGTTTTTCTAGGAGTTTGAGATGTATCATTAGGTCATTGATTTGGGATCTTTCAGTCTTTTTAATACATGCAGTCATGGCTATAAACTTTCCTCTCAGGACTGCCTTAGCTGTGTCCCATAGGTTCCGATAGGTTGTGTTTTCATTTTCATTGACTTCTAGGAAATTTTTAATTTCCTCTTTTATTTCATCAATGACCCATTGTTCATTAAGTAATGAGTTATTTAGTTTCCAGCTGTTTGCATGTTTTTTGTCTTTACTTTTGTTGTTGGGTTCTACTTTTACTGCGTTGTGATCAGATAGTATGCACGCTATAATTTCTATTTTCTTGTATTTGCTGAGGCTTGCTTTGTGCCGTAGGATAGGATCTATTTTGGAGAAGGTTCCATGGGCTGCTGAGAAGAATGTATATTGTGTAGAAATTGGATGAAATGTTCTGTAGACATCTACTAGGTCCATTTGATCTATTGTATATTTTAGATCTTGGATTTCTTTATTGAGTTTTTGTTTGGATGACCTATCTATGAATGATAATGGGGTGTTAAAGTCTCCCACAACCACTGTGTTGGAGTCAATATATGCTTTTAGGTCTTTCAGGGTATGTTTGATGAAATTGGGTGCTCATAGGTTGATAATTATCATTTCCTTTTGGTCTGTTTCCTCTTTTATTAGTATGGAACCTCCTTCTTTATCTCATTTGATCAATGTAGGTTTGAAGTCTACTTTGTCAGAGATAAGTATTGCTACTCCTGCCTGTTTTTGGGGGCCATTGGCTTGGTAAATCTTCTTCCAGCCTTTCATCCTAAGCCTATGCTTGTTTCTCTCGGTGAGATGGGTCTCCTGTAAGCAACAAATTGTTGGATCTTCCTTTTTAATCCATTTCGTCAAGCGGTGCCTTTTGATGGGTGAATTAAGTCCGTTAACATTAAGTGTTAGTACTGATAGGTATGTGGTGATTCCTGCCATTTAGTTGTCTTAGTTGTTTGAAGGTTTGATTGTGTGCATCTAAGTTGAGGTTGCTCTCCACTTTCTTGCTTTTTCTTTTTCTGTAGTTTGGTGCTGCCTGTCTTTTCATGGTTAAGTTGGATTTCACTTTCTGCGTGCAGAATCCCTTGCAGAATCTTTTGTAGTGGTGGCTTTGTGGTCACATATTGTTTTAGTTTCTGCTTATTATGGAAGACTTTTATTGCTCCATCTATTTTGAATGATAGTTTTGCTGGGTAGAGTATCCTGGGGTTGAAGTTATTTTCATTCAGTGCCCGGAAGATCTCACCCCATGCTCTTAGAAGATTTTAGAAGAAGCTGTTCTAGTCTACATATTAAGCCACAGAAGGGGTTGCAGTCTTCTGATTACCTGTTGATTAGAGACTACCCTTAGCAGACAGATAGTTAACCAAAACATACCACCCCATGGTTTGGGGATATCCATACTCAGATACCATCTTTAGACTCAAACAACCCCATGCTCGCTGGCCCTTCCTTTTGCTTTTAAGGCCCTTACTTTGATCATGGTGTCCCCTTTTAGACCATTCCCATGACCCAAGAATTACTCAACAAAATGTTCTGAGCCTGCAGAGCTTCTTTCCAAGTTTGTCTGCCTGAAGAATGGATAAAACCATTGAATTCTACCTCTGATACAGATTCCTAGGTCCCAGGTATGGCCAAAGGGACTGTTTGAGAATAGTGTTCTCAGAGCTGGGACACTAGCTTGAATACCTGTGCACCCTTGGGGCTCAGGACGAGACTGGGGTGTGGGGAAAAGTAGGGGTTGGGGGTAGATTTGGGCCAGTGTCCTCCATTTGTGCCAGCAGTTTGGGTCAGGTTTACCCAAAAGAGCTTTTTTCTTTGATCAACTGCTTTTTATATGGATAAAATTATTGGGGAAGTTTTTTGGTTTGTTTTGTTTCTACTACTCATTTAGAGGATGAATATAGCAGGTTCAATATAGAGTCCAGTTGGTCTCTCCCTTGGGTGGGTGATGGTGCTGATGTTTTGTGAAAAGGAGAAAAGGTTCTGCTGACACACTGCATTTTTATAAAAGAAGGTGAAGTGTTCCCATATCTCTCCATGTATTAGACACATCTGCCTGCAAACAGGCTATCTGCTACTTAGGGATTCCTTGTTCTGTTTCTTTTCTGAAGGTTTTAAGGCACAGTTTAGTGCATTCCTTTGTGTTTTCTAGAGCCAGGGGAAAGTCATATATTATGGCTCTTGTTGGAGAGCTTAAAATGGGCACTGGCAGCTGGAATGTGGTGAAAGGAGAGCTTTCCAGGAACAAGTGACCTGCTTGTTCAGCCAATGAGAAGCAGGTTAGAGGAATGATATCACCAGACAGGCTTTATTGTCTGATCATCTCATAAAAGCAGGATTGTGTCTGGCAACTTAACCCTTTTTTAGGTATTTCAGGTCTCACCTGCTCCCTGGTATGTGACCTCTAGATTCCTTTTCCATGTGCTGTGAGACCACAAAGATTAAAGACTTATATATGTGGATAAATTAGTTAAGATACCGTCATTTTAAGAAATAGAAATTTTAAAATGTAGAACCACTGCTAGAATGTAAATGTGATTTAAGTTGTGTTCAGAGAGCACATCTAAAGCAGATGTTGATCATAGTCATTTGATACAGGACTTTTACTCTATAGACTTGAGAGGGAAGGTAGGTTAGAGGGAAAAGATTTAGACTTTATTTTAATCCATATATGGATACTTACAAAGTACTTTCTGTTTTGAAGGAATTGAAATTGGCTCTGCTAATTTGGAAATTATCACTAATCTTCAGACCAATTTTGACTTAGCGATATTTGTAGTGCTTGTTTATTTTTGTAGTTCTTTATTGTCCCTTCCCCTGTGAAAATGATAATCATTTTTATGCTTCCTTTTCCTTGTTAGTAAAATGAGTAGTCGTGCCCCATTTATAGTTAAAGAGATGAGAAAACGAGTTCTTGCAACTTTAGATTATGCTTCACACATAATGTATTATTAAGACAGTCATGTCTTAAGATTATGTATTCAGTCATTGATCTGTTCAGACTTCTTATAATGCTTTCTTGATATTGGGTGTAAGAGAGATACAGCTATAAAATGTAATTCTAATGTTTAAGGAACTTAAAACCTGAAGGAGACAGATAATAGTAATAAAACTTTCTTTTCTGTTTACCTTGTGGTAGGCCCTCATTTAATCTTGCTACAGTCCTCAGAAATAAGAGCTAACTGTAGTTAGCTAGCTCCGCATAAAATAAAGAAATAGAAACACAAGGAGGCTAAGTGACTTGCATAAGGTGACACAGTTAATGATAGGGTTGAGATTTGCGTCCAAGCAGTGAGGCCATACAGTCCGCTCTAAATCTGTGCTGGTACAGTAGTCACTGATCACTTGTGACTTTGGAGTATGTGAACTATATCTAGTCCCAGAATTGAGCTGTGTGAAAAAAACACTAGATTTCAAAGACTTAATATGAAAACACACACACACACACACACACACACACACGACTTCATATTGAAATTATGTGTTGCAAATGATAATATTTTAGATATACTCAGTTAAGTGAAATATAGTAAATTTAGTTTCACATTTTATTGTAACTACTGTAAAATTTAAAACTACATGTAGGCTTGCCCTAGAGGGGCTCACGTTAATTTGTTGGACTGTTCTATACCAAATCATTACAGTGTGACAGTAGTAAACAAGGGACATTTTGGAGCATGTGATGTGCCATATACTGTGCTGATGTCTGTACAGACATAATTTCAGTTAAGCCTCATCATAGCCTTATATATTATCTCCATTTTGTAGAAGAGAAAAAAGATTTGAGAATTTCATTAATTTGTCCTAGGTTAATCAACTAGTTAATGGAAGACTCAAATTCAGATTCTTGGGAGTTCAAGGTCAGCTTGGGCATTATAATAAAACCCTGTCTCAAAAAAAAAAAGAAAGAAAAAATCCTGTAATCCCATCTACTTGTGAGGCATTGGGGAGGTAGAAAGATGGCTGTCCTGCCTGAGGCTGCCTCAGACCAAATCCTACCTGAAAAACAAACCAAAAGCAAAGAAGACTGAGGGTGTGGCTGAGGTTGTAGAGCCCTTGCCTAGCAAGTGCCCTGAGTTCAATCCCTAATATTGCCAACAAACAATAAAGAACCACTGTGCTCTTAATACACCGTAATACCATTTTTATTTAAATCTCAGCTCTTTTGATTTTATTTCTATTGCATATTTCTGTATCTTACACATAAAACATCAAAATAAAAATGAGTAGGACATAAGATAGAAATCTCTTTTGTAAGGCTTTGACCCTCAATGAACACTGCATAGTTGAGTTTGAGATGAAGCAGTGAATCAGCCTTTACAAATTGCATTTCATTTTCATTCCAGTAATTTTCTCAGGTTACTGGACAATTTATGTCCTGATCGTCTGTGTCCAGAGAGAAGGGGAAGAAGGACAGTGTGACTCTACTTAGTTGTTATGTTCTCTTGGCTAATAAGAAGGAAAAATTGCTTTCATTTCACTGTCCTCTGAAATGCTGTTTGTGTTTGAGAAAACAACAAAATGCTTTCTGGTGACCCTTGACTTTTCTTTCTTTTAGAGCAAAGACTCAGGCGGACTGAAGGCAGCTATGATAGAGTTGGTGGAAAGGTTAAAGTTCAAGAGCTCAGATCCTAAAGTAAGTATTGTTTTGGAATTGATTGGGTGTTGGTAACACAAGCACTTTGTTCTCCTTGAGCTATCCGAACTTTAGGTTAAGATCTAATTAAGTCTGCCCATCGAAAACAGTATGCTAATATGCCTGAAGATAAGTCATTTGTTTTTCCCCTTCTCTGTTTTATGACTTAAAACCCATAATCATTAATTGTTTTCCCTGAGCTGCAGAGAAGTACATTTTTAGTCTGTCTTTACAAGGCCTTTGAGACTTCTGTCCTCTGTGCCTATTAAGTCCAGCCAAAGGCATCTGAGGTACTGATCAGTGTAATGCTAGGCACTGGAACAAGATGCAGACCCAGTCCAGTTGGAGTTCACCACTGATGTCTTGCTTCTCGTCTTGTAAGAGCCAGGTGCTGCTAAGGATGGTTTTGTCCTTATGACCTGGAGTCTGGTCTAGGAAGTGGTTTAAGCACCCTGGCTTTTTTACTAGATGTTTTGGGAGCTGGAGAGTTGATATTCTGGGAGTGCCGTACCAGGGTGGGGATGGATTGGAAAATGTGAACATGTCAGAGGGATTATGACTAATAGATTCTCTTCTACTTCCTACTGAGACACTCATTGTGCCACTGCCTTGTATTGAGACCAGTTGGCTCTGCTTGGAACTCAAAGCCTCTTAAGTTAAATAGTAAATATCATTTTATTTTACTTTGTGTGTCTGCCTTCTTGCACCTCCAATTTCTCTATAAAGAGGAATGATGCTAACATTCCTTGAGCACCTACTGAGAGCCAGGCACTGTGCTAGAGGTCTTACATAATTGTGGTAGAATACACACAACAAAATTTTAACCGCTTTATACAGTTCAGTGGCATTAAATACATTTACAGTATTGTGCAACTATCACCACCATCCATCTGTAGTATGTTTTCGTTATCCCAAACTCTGTACCCCTTAAAACACTTAGCTCTTCATTCGTCCTCTCCGTATATGCTTTTATTGTAACAGCCCTATAAAGTAGTTTATTATTCCTATTTTATTGATTAGGACACTAAGACTTAAAGATGTAGAGTCATCTGCTCCAAATTTGGACTATGGTAAAGATAGAATCCAAACTCTGATTCCAGTGCCTGTACGCTTTCTTTTATGTAATGTTGGAAAGCAAGCACTGGGTTTCATCTTCTTTCTGCTGTGTAAACACATTATGCTTCAGTTTTCTAAACTGAAACTCTACATGAGGCAGAGCCATAGAGAGTGACAGGCTTTTCAGTCACCAATCTACAAAATAATTTTCTTTTTATATAACATTGATAGTATTGAGGCATTAGTCTTATCTCTTATTTTCTCAAGTAGATAGGGTTTCAGAGGTAGGGAGTATCTTGATAGAAAAAAAATGGTGTTCCTTTATCAACTGCCTTAGCTCAGAATAGGCAGATCCCTGATTTAAGTTATAAGTATTTTTTCCTTTAGTGAAGATGAATCAATTAATTACTAAAGGTTACTGAATGCTTTTTATTATACATTTCTTTGGTTTCTGGGGTAACAGCTCTGCTGAGGGAAACAACTGTGTTTTCTGTTACTGTCACATGCATGTGCTTGCAATCTGCAGCACAGTGGAGAGGGAGTGATGATATAGGTAATGTGCTTCACTTTATGAATTCGTGTAATGCTTGTGATGGGAAACTTGTCAGAACTGAAAGGTTCAAGTGGTCCTCTGAGAGGAATCCATGAAAGCCTTCGGGTTCCCCCATGATGTACCATGAGCTGAAAGATAGTTTAAGGGCCAGGTGCCAGTGGCTCACACCTGTAGTCTAGCTACTCAGGAGGCAGAGATCAGGAGGATCACGTTTCGAAGCCAGCCCCGGCAAATGGTTCCACGAGACCCTATCTTGAAAAAACCCTTTGCAAAAAAGGGCTGGTGGAGTGGCTCAAGGTGTAGGCCCTGAGTTCAAGCCCTAGTACCAGGGAAAAAAAAAAAAAGATAGTTGTAAGGACTGACTCCATCCTTGGGTATTTGTGTGTACATTTACCACCCTTTTACTTTCAAGCCCCTTGTTTGTCTACCATATGCAGATGCTGTGGATACTTTGGGAGCCAGCTTGAAAATGGGTGAACATCATTGCAGAGTGACTTCCAGGTCAAGAAGTAGCGTGAAAAAATAGGCCATTTAAATATATAATTTCTACAACAAAAGTTTTCCAGAAATAAATTGGTGCTCTCCAAGAGAACCCTTAAAGTTTTCAGTTTGTTCTGTTTTCCCACAGCGCTCTTACCACCTCTTTTTTGATTTGGCCTATTTAAAAAGGGAGAATCTTTCAGGCTTTATGACTGGTCATTTCCTGGCACAGCTGGTTTACATAGAAGCACTGATTGAGTCATGGAGGACTGAGCACTATCTCTGCCTCACTTCCTTTAGAATTCCCTAAAGCATCACAAAGCTTGATTAGTCCAGACACAGACGTCTGCTGGAGACTGAGTTAATTTTTAACTGTGAGTTTTAGCAAAGAACAGTGGAGGATGCCTAGATCAAATGTTTTTTTTTTAATCTATATATTATTTTATATATGCTTATATATGAAAAAAATGAAGATGTTCATAAAGGAAAACTAAAATGAATTCCCCTAAGTTAACCAGTATTAGCAGTTTTGTATATAACCTTGTAGACATTTTTCTATTTTTAAAATTATATGGTACCTTTGGTTTTTCAATTGTTTTTTTCATTATGCAGAATATCCTAGACCTTCTGTGTCAACAGACTTAATTCTTCTTACTGAGATGCCTCATTTTATTCAAAACATTTGTCGGATGCCTTATTTTATTCCATACCAGTGGTTCTTAAAATTCAGTGTGTATGAAAATCACCCAGAGCATTTATTAAAATGTAGTGCTGAGCCTCCCTTAGAGTTTTTGATTTTTCTGATCTGAGTTGGCTAGAGAATTTTCATTTCTTTCATAGTACTAGTGACAGATATTACAATGTTGATACTGGTGCAGGGATTACACTTTGAGAAACACTGTACTGGACCTTGGCTATTTTCTTTAATGCTTGCTTTTATTTTTTTTTTTTCTGTCCTTTCAGCAAATAGAAGAGCACCCAGAAATAAGACTGATTTCAACTTTGTAAAAGAAAACAAAATATAAAATGATCTAGACTTACAAAACAAATAATTTGAGCAGAAGTAGCAGAGGAGTAGGGGAAGAGGAAGGAAATGGGTTAGAAAGTTAGCTCAGTCTGCAAGAGGACAGGATTGCTTTAAACTGTCATTTCCAACAGAGGAATAGGGATCCTAGTTAAGAGGGGGAAGGGGTCCTAGTTAAGATTTAGGAGGATAATCAAAGCTTGTGCCACAGTTTAGGAGTAGGCTGATTTTTAAAAACATCAAACCCCAGCCACTAGGGGTAAGGCTGAGGACAGGAATCAGCAACATTTGAGAAGTAAGACACAGGACCAGACAAAGCTATGTGCATGTTCATTGCTATGGTAAGCCCTGTTTTAAAGGGTACATACCTCTAGGCATGTAGAATCTCCTACAATATGAAAGATTACTTTTAATAGCAATCTTAAAGGATTACTGGGAAGTAGTCTTTTAAGTAATACACTCTCCAAATGTAACATGACTCAGCATGCAAAAAAATTGTTCCAGCCAAACTTTCAGAAACATGAATTAAACAAAGCAGGATTTTTGGTGTAGATTTTTTACATTTATACCAAACTAGGGAAATTAAAAGATAGAATCATTCAGGGTGTGTGTGTATGTATGTGTATGTATACATGGAGTTTTGTTTATATTCTGTAGCTTTCCTGAGTTATCTTTCATGGTTTATTGAGAGGAAACCAAGGCTTGGAAAACTAATTCCCTCTGCTTCCTTTTTTGGGCCCAGTCCTCAAAAGTATTGAACCAAAAATATAACATGCTAAGCTCAATCTAACTAACCTCTTATGCAGTTAATAATTTCCACTTTTCTGTTATGTGTTGATTGTTTTTCTCCAGAAGATGTGTTGTTGTTTCCTATAACTGATGTGCTTGAAACAAATACTTTAAAGCACAATTCTGTTTCTTAAATTCATATTACTCTTACAAAAAGTTATTTTCAGAAAGGAAACATCTTAAAATCCCACCCAATGGGTCTATAATAACCTGACAGGAGTGGGATTAAACATGGTATCTGGTCCTACCTAGCCTGTCTAAAACATAGACTTTTTTTCCTTTTCTTGTTGCAAGCCTCTAGGGGGATTCTTACTGAAGTGTGAAACAAACAAAAAAAAAACAAATAAGCTGCCTAGCAACATAAAATTAGTTAAATAGATCTGAGAATGGTTTTCTTATTTTATTGTTTTTAGATAGCACAGGCATTGTATAATTAGAAGAACTTTTCATAGCTGATATCATTTGCATGGAACATAGTCCAGTCTTTCACTCTTCTGTACTAATCAGAATGTCAAAAAACAAAAAAAAACAAAAACCATAGATTTTAAGAAAAAGAAAATTTAAAAATTACAAGTTTTACATTTACAAATAGTAATGTATATAATAAAAGCCTAATTTGAATTGTTGTTATTAGTATTCTGTTATTCCCAAGGGTCAGAACAGGCTTCATCCTGCTTCTTGCCCTGCACCAAGGCAGAACCAGGTACTGGGGCAGTTTTATTCAGTCAACTGATGCAAAGGCTTGAGGTGGCTCAGCTATCAAGTTATAACATATGAAAGTGTTCATTTGGTTGTGGGGTTAATAGAATTATTGATCTCTTCTTGTAATTTGCATTAAAAAGGTATAAGTAACCAGGTGCTGGTGGCTCATGCCTGTAATCCTACCTACTCAGGAGGCAGAGATCAGGAAGATCACAGTTCGAAGCCAGCCCAGGCAAATAGTTTGTGAGACCCTATCTCGAAAAACCCTTCACAAAAATAGGGCTGGTAGAGTGGCTCAAGGTGAAGGCCCTGAGTTCAAGCCCCAGTACCCCCGCCCCCGCCAAAAAAAAAGTTATAGTAGGAGGCATAAGTTATGTTTACTTTATTTCTGTATCC